ATTTGTTATTTTCGCGAGCACTTTCCCTGGAAAATCTACACCTGTCATGCTGTGGTTGTACGTCATTGAACACTTTCAAATGTTTACATGGTTCACTAGGATACTGGCTGAGTACGCATATCCTCTTATCAGCATAACAGAAATTTGTCTGCACCCAAAATTTGATTCGCAGATTATGTGTTCTTATCGCAAAGTTTGATCTCTCAGAGGGCATTATCGTGTTTCGTAGAAAAAGTGCGTCATTCTGAAAAAGAAATTTTCTTCCACCTTATTGTAAGCATATTGCGATCATGCAATTAGCTGTTAAAGAAATGCTGTCAATTACCTATTTGATAGGTTCTTCTAGCTTATTGATCAAAGTTTTTGCTCATAAAATTTTGAAACTCTTATAAATAAAAACTTGACAATGAAAGACTCATGATCAGAAAGCAGATTCGTAGCGTATTGCACATTTGGTATTGATGGCAATAAGGTGAATTCAGCTGTGAAAAACATTTAGTTTATAGAACATTTTTTAACAGCTTAACCAAGAATTCCAATAAAAAAGTTGTTGATAAGCAATGTGGAAAAGGTCATATAAACGTCAGTTGAAAAAAATATGGTCTATTCTCATTATAAGTTAACTTAACTACTGCGCAACGATTTCTCAACCAGATTATTCAATTTTTGTAAAAGGAAAATTTTTTCTTTGAAAACATTTGGTGTGTTCTTCCGTCTTCTGTTTATTGTTTTCGTTGTTAGAAATCTGAAAAAAAAGCGTGGATTTATCTGGCTCCATTTCATAGCAACAATGCGATGCAAAAATGATCATCAAATGATCACAGTCGAGAACGAATTTGGAACGGAAAAGGCCATTGTTCGCGCTAATTCAAGCTAATAATGGGACTTCCTTCAAACATCAACTAGCTACTCGCTTTTTGGAAGTACAGCTCGTTATCTGAGCAATTTGCACTCCGTCAAGATTTCATGTGATAGTAATTAGTGCTTCCGTGTCTTTCTCCGAACGACCAAGATCACTTTGCAAAATCCATCCGATGCCAATGATCTCATCATGCATTGAACTTTTCTATAATATCAAAAATTATTCGGGCATCCATCCCATCGAGTAATTTTTAAGATAATGTGATTCTCTCCAAGGAACTTTTTCGATCAGCAACAATTGCGAAATGCATTTCGATGATATGCATTTCAGTACATGAATGATTCGGTATTAATGAAACATTACATGGTACGGATTGTTACTTTTCTCGAAAAAAAAGCAACAAACAGCACGTCATACTCAAGTAATTCATCAACAAAACATAAACATAGCATCTAATCTGCATAAGAACACGCTAACGGCTCATCAGTCATCAAGAACGTGTGTCGTCGTCTCGATGAATCGAGTCCCGAATCTGTTGCAGTTATTGTTACTTCATTAGAGAAGAAACGAATGATTGAATGGCATTTTGTGAAGTTGTGATTCTGCATTTAAGTCTTGCTGGAACTCTCTACACTCTAAACTTCTGACTGAATCAGTTACTTGGTAAAACACCCACGTAAAGCTAGTTACCAATTGGAACGATAGAAATCAAACGACTTCTAGTTAGTCTGGTATCAAAAGGTGAACAGTTGAACCTGTAATGATAAATAATTTCAGGATTAGAAATAGAAACTAGTAAGGATCAGGAATAGGTATTTTTAGTTAAATTGAGTTACTGTGACATTGATCAATTGTGCGATATAGATTGGTTTTTGAAACAATGATCAACGATCAATGAGTTTTTTGATCAGTGATATTTTGAAAACGATTACTGACGTAATTATCTCGAGTTCAAGAGTAAGAAATTAAGGTGACTGGCAGCAACGATACTATTTCGATCACGCCTCAATGACGTGTCGTTTATTTTGGTACGATGGATGCTCGTCGAAATCCAGAAATATCTTCGAGGATCTCTTAACATGTCAATGGTTATGTGAAGAACAACCCATCTATAAGTCGAGTCAGTTTTTAGCATTAGATGCACAATCCATTTCAATCATTTTTCATATCTCATTTGCACTGCTCAAGTGCGATTCTTCACTTCCAGGAACTTGTTTTCCCTTCCTCACAAATTCTCTCTCTTATCAAATGATCATTTCAATCATTTGGGTGTTACTTCTGAATTTGAACAGATGATCTTGTGAGTATTCTCTTCAAATCATGTCGACTTTAGGGTCGTGCCTTGAAACTTTCGATGAACACTACAAAGATGAATGCAACGGTGGCCGTTGGAAGAAGCAGTTCTATTTTGATAAGCAAAATAAAGTTAGTTGTTATTATGGTTGCTTTTTATGGCCTAGTTTGAGTGATTACTTTATGAAGGTTCCAAATCCACTCGTAGATAAGATGTCAGTGAGCTAATGAACTCATTCATAACTTTTTTGTTTGAAACTTCTATCAGTTAATGGATATTTTGATCTATTCATATGAAATATTAACCAGATTGTTATGCCAGCAGTTATTTTCGCATCTTATGAAATTGTTGCAAAAAAAATTTCAGAAATGTGTTGCATTCTGGTACGACGGATGCACGGGTGAAAGTCAGAATATATTTCAAGATGAGATAACTTGCATACAGCTTTGTGAACAGCCCCAGAACAAAGATCGTACGTTTGGCTACGTCCAATTTTGTTTCCATAGCATTTCATAACAACTTTTGAATGAATGCTTAATAAGTAAACGTCAAATGATGCATAACACCGTTAAAGAGTTCATCAATTTTGGATGATTGTGCCCTCGGATTGTCGATAGTAACAATAATGAATTACTCGTATGATGAGCGATGTTTCATTAATGATCCTTCAGTATGAATGAAAATACTACGCACATTTCAAAATGTCACCATAACTTCCTGTTCGTTTTGATGGCAAAACGAACAGGAAGACGTGGTACTTACAGAATAACTAATGTCATCCTTTCAGCTCATAATCCATGGCATCATAGAAGAAAACACAAATTGGTCGAGGAAGTTGAAAAGATATTTCGTTAGTTTTTCGCTAAACTTTGAATGTGGTGTGAGCAAAATAGATGCAACAAAACGACGATTTTAGAACACTTGAACTGTCCTCAATTGAACATGAAGTTTAAATTACATTTTCATGTGTAATTTGTGTACCTGATGAAATTAATCTCCTCTGTTAATTAATCTGTTAAATTAATCTCAAGAAATTGCTCTGTTCACTCTCGGCCACTCACTCATTTCTAATGCGAAGAAATCGCCGTTTTTTCAAAGGCTCATAGATTTTTTTCAAGTATTGCCACTGCGATCAAAAAACAGTAGAATCGTGGTGATTTATGCAATAATTTAGAGCCAAATATGACGAATATTTGCGAGACGGCCAATCCATGTGAGAATAACGGCACATGCTTGTTTGATCGAATCACGAAGACGCACTATTGCAAGTGTGCGCCGGGATATACGAATGCAAATTGCACCGAACGAATCGGTTTGTTGTTCGTTCCAGAAAATGACACAAAATCATGCGCCGTTCAATCATATCACCGACCAGATTTTGAAGCTTTTGAAACTTTGAAACAAAATGCAGCTGCTAGAAAGCTGAGAGCTGCATCTTCCAGACTTCCTCATGTCCATCAACGAGAGTTTTGCAGAATTTGATCCATGTTCGTCAAATCCATGTAAAAATGGCGCAACGTGCAGTGCAAAAGCTGGTCAAAGTAAAACCACTTTCGAGTGTTTCTGTGCGATTGGTTACGGTGGCGAATTCTGTGAAGCGAGTGAGTTTTAGGATGCCAATTGTGGACCTAAGTAATACTGCAACGGATGACATTCTTTGATAAGAGTACATTTTAAAACCACTGAAAGATTTCCGGTTCAACCCAGATCATTCGATATTCCGACGATAAAATGAATTTTGACTGCAGGATGCATGAAGAAAAGTTTGACTGCAGGACACGAAAGCATCTGCCATAGGGAATGGCGAGAAATTTGAACGTTTTGAGTAGTTTTGGTTGTTAAGACATCTGAAATGTCTGAGAATTTGAATAAAATCATTGAATCAGGAAATTTAAAGTCGAAAAAATGCATCACAGCTAGGTTAGCAGGCTGTAAAATAGGTTGATGAGCATCATGAAAAGCTCGAATCATCTTCAGAGCCATGCGAATCAAATCCCTGTCTGAATAATGGTACGTGTAGGACAACGCGCGGCTTTTCCACATTCTTCTGCGATTGTCCACCGAAATTTGGTGGAAAATTGTGCGATATTGGTTCGTTGTGATCATTTTATTACAATTCACTTGAAGTTCTAGTTTATTTTAAAGTTATCGCTGAATCATTCACTGCTTGCCGGATCCGAAACCTTCAAATCTTGTAGACAATATTCAAAAGTCTTGCTTATTTCATCGAGTTTTTTCGAAGTATTTTTCGCTCGGCACAAGGACTGTATTTCAGCATCACTTTTGTTAACTCAGGAATACACTGATCTCTTCCCACTAGTCCTAGATGTTATAGATGAGATTCCGTGCTCTCATTTACGTTCACCTGTTAATAATCGCACATTATTTCTATTCAGTTTCCATATTCACTGATATCTCATCAATGCGATAAGATATCAAGACAATGTCTTCGGTTTTATCTTTCGATGTTGTGTTTTTTCAGCGGTTGGTGAAACAAAACCACCAAAATACGGTAAAAACGTGCAGTTATTATCAAGTGGTAAAGTGGAATGGATTGAACAGTTGAAGAAGGTGAAGGCAAAGGAGCGAGAAATGAAAATGATGAAGAAAGAACGACAAAATGATCGACCGATCAAGGGTTTTTGATCATTGCATTTAACTTTATCTTTCAATCGCTTACATTCCAATGATTTATTCTCGTTAACCGTTTGCTTATCCTCTGAATTGCCTGATCGGGTTCATTTCAGCTTTCAGAAATTGAAAGTATTTTTAAAAAGGAGCACATATTTGAATTTTTTTCTGACTTAAACATATGCTTGAAATATTTCAAGTAGAGTTTGAGTGAATGCTTCGGGCAGATTTGTGTGAAGATACCAGAAACTCATCGGTCTGAGCATTCTGTTTGATATGCATGGGATCTAAAGAGTTCAATCACTGCCATTAATATGCATCTCGCTGTATGCATTCGTATGCATTCAGTTCGTTGAGATGCATATTAATCGAAAAAACCGAAAGCGCATACAGATACATTGAGTTCATTGCAGAG